TCAAATCATCACTGTGACAGGCCAGATTTCCTTATTATTTACAGATATCTATTTCCCATCATTTTTCAAAGACAGAAGCATATGCAATATAAACAAAATATAATAGACATGAAACAGTGAATCTTCCATATGCAGGGGAAAAGCGTAATGAAAACAGGTTTTTAGGAGGCCAGGCTCGTTCTTCTATCAGCAAGCACAAGGCTGAGCAAGCCACGAGAGGGAGCGCAAACACTGTTGAAAATGCAATGAAACAAGAGGCAGGAGAGCCAGGTCCAGGAGCGTTTGATGCCAAGTCTGTAGCTAATAACCTGCATTCTAATTCGTACTGAAAATCAATTTAATTTCCTCTTCAGGTTTAATGCATTACAAGTAATTCTTCAATACTAATATGGTAAGGGGAAAGAGAGAGGGAGAGAAAGGCATTCATAATGCTCAGCTTGAGATAGCTGAATGAAATGCAGAGCCAGGTCAGAGCAGCAGGCAAAGCAGCCTTGGGTATTAGACAAGTGGGGCTAAAAGGCTGCAGCGCTTGCCTGTGGCAGCGGAAAGAGAGGTCAGCCCTGCGTATCTCCCTCATGCTTTTCATCCTCCTACTGCTGCCACCCAGGGAGGGACTGGGGCATGTGCAAGTGCCAGTCCAGCTCAAAAGGGGCACCTACTGCCAACCTTTAATAGCAGCAGGAACGAGCATCCCTACCCTTCGGGACTGTTCCAGCCTCACACCCTCCTCCTCTTATTCTTCATGGATGGAAAAAAAATAAGGTTCCTTAACTGTGGTAAAATGGATTGACGGAAGAAATACCTGACAACAGGTATTTTCAAACTAAAAGATGTTTATATGTAGGTCAAATAGAAGTTTGTGAAACCTTCCACCATCATCACCACATTTTTCTCATTCTTACCTCCAAGTATTACAGAGTCAAATTCTGTTCTGGAGCTGAAGATTGTTTATATAAGCCAAGGATAAATGTATTCTTAAAGGCTGTTCTTTCTGGTTGATGTAGCACAATATAGTGCTTGAATATCCATTTCACTTAGCTGTTGCAGTATTCTAGCAGGAAACAGCAGCAGGATGCTGCTGTTATGCGAAGGACAGGAGCACAAAGGATAATGCTTGTGAATACTGATCTCCTGACTGATGTAATCATTGTGATAAAAAATAATGTCTTAGTAGTATAAGACCCAACTCTTCTGCGTGGTCAGACATGTTCATCATAAATCTACCTGCTTCTGGGAGCTGAAAGAGGAGGAAGGTCACAAGGCTGCAGAGCAGATCTGCACCATACATTCTACAGTTTCTTGCCTACATGGAATCCAGGGCAGCCCCAGAAGCCCCTGCACTGGCAGGGCAGTGGGCACAGCCACAGGATTCGTGACTGCTTCAAAACACAGAGTGAGAGGGGATCCTTTCCACAGCATGGAGGAGATGCAGAAATGCCTCCCAACACAGTCCTGACACACCAGCTGCGGGGAGGCAATTTAACTGAGGCTCCTGCATTTGCAGGTTACAAATGGCATTCCAGCTAAATCATCATATTTATTTTTCCAGTAATGCATGGAATCAATGAAACATCATTATGAGAAACGAACTGGCTCTGAGGCTATCATGCCACCACACCTGCCACTTCCCTTTGCATCATGAAAGTTCTTACCAACTAGTTTATTCAAAATCTCTGTAAGTAATGTACTTTTCTCATTTCTTCTTATCCTCTTCACTTCACACTTTCTCCTTCTCCTTTTCCTCTTAGTCTGCATTTCTATTACTTTAGGAACAGCTAAGGGTCCAAATGTCAATACTAAGCATCTTCCCCTTCCATTCCCTGTAATGGGAAAGGTCCTGCATTAAGTCTCTGCATCTCCACTGTAATAAACTAGTCAGTTGTTACATTCCTAGAATAGACCAAAGACAGACTTAAAGTTTGTTAAAAAATTATAACAAATCTGTAAATAACCTGGTGATACTTAGAGACTGACTGTTACCATACTTATATTCTGTAGCAGGGTGGGAATTTTGCATCACTGTTGCAGTTACCCACAGAAAATAGTTGAGCTTAAAAGATGAACAAATAGTACTGCAGCATGCTAACTTCACATGGCCACACTCATAAAGCTAGTGACACTTTACAGGCTATAGCAACAAGTTACTTCAAACAGTTCACAAAATTTATAATTTTAGGCCACCAATTAACAAAAAGCAGCCAAGATAACAAATTTACAATGATTTTTCATGTTTAGCTTTCATATATCATTACACAACTGTTAACATTCTATGTATTGTAGTAGTAAATATGTCACACATGAATTATTAAAAAAATCATGTACTGTTATTGTTAATTACTCAGATTTTACCTTCATAAATCTGAACAGTTGATAGTTTCTCTTTACAGACCCTATACTTGTTCTTTACAAAAAGATCAACTGGAATCCTGAAGTGCTTTTTGTTTTCAGTACTTAATGATACCCTTCAAGCTGTATCCAACAAGTGATGATACCAAACCATCTCCCTGTCAGTGGGGAAAAAATATTTCACTGAGAACACACTGATATAAATAAGACACATTTAATCACTCATTGAAGGCTCAATATACAGAAAATACTAAAATACCAAACATTTTGTTAAAAGGATGGAATCATTACCTGGAATGCTAATGTACATCTTTCTCCCTTTGTAAATATAAATGTGCATAGATGTAGTGATCATTGGCTGAAAATGCAGTTCTTGACGTTGCAATGAACATGTTTTTAGTAAGAGCAGATCTTTGACATAGTAAAACAACATATCTATGCATTTGTAGCAAAACAAAAGTAACAAATATGGATGATAAATACTTGTCTTTGTTTCTTTTGTTTATTATCTCAGATTATATTATTTAATCTAGAAACCAGAGTGGACTCCAGATGCACTTCTAAACATGATACAGAGCCAGATTACCAGTGCTAAAGCTCTAGAGGGGTACACATATAAAGAACTTACCTCTTAAAAAGCATGGGCACAAGCACAAAGTCAGTAATTTGTCCGCAATCAGGGTCACTCCCTACTCACAGGAACTAGCTGAAAGCTTCCACAGTTAGACCCTAATTTTTTCTATTTAATTTTGTGTTTTATTCTTGACTGCAGGACCAATGGTTACTGGTGTCAAAAGTTATTGAGCACGTCCCCTTTATACCTCTCAGAAGATTTGTCCACAGAGGAAGCAAATAGTTTCTTAACTGCTATTTTACAGCTTTCACAGAGATGGAAAAGATGCACGTTGCAGATCCACACTGCCCATTTAGCAGACTGAGGCAGAGAAATTACACCAGTGCAATTAATGTGGTAGAGAATCAGCTGCTCACTGCAGGGGGGTTGGACTAGATGACCTCTAGGGGTCCCTTCCAACCCAAAATGTTTTATGATTCTATGATTCTAAAATTAGTTCTCTAATTTATTCATCCAATGCTGACAGGCAGCCATGTCTGAGGCAGAATCCTGTCGCCATTTTGTACCAGCAACACTTACAAAGGTAGAGGGAAAAAGAAATATTAAAATCTGTTCTGTTTACTGAGCTCCAAGTAGGAGAATCATTACTCACACTGCAACTTCAGCAAAAGTTACACTGCTCTTCTGTTACTTTCACCAAAGTGCCAGAGCAGGTCAAAGATTAATATAGGATGATGCTCCTGGTCCATGTACAGAATAAATGGATGCAAGACAAAGATGCATAAAGCATGCATTGTAACAAAAAAAAAAAAAAATCTGATTCTCCCTTTTCACTGACCTTTTTTCATCAGTGCTTTGATTTGCATGATTTTCTTCACTATGTAGCTCAGGAGTCCCACCAGCTAGCACCAAGGGAACAGCTTGCTGAGTACACAGGGACAGCTTTCTGGTGGCTTCTGGTTTAACCATAGCCCCAGCCATTGTCAACATCACTTCTCCCACCCCACACACTGCGAAGTACCAATTCAGACTAACTAAACTGCAGCCAACTTCAAATGTTCCTTCCTCTTCCCTGGTAATTCTGTGCGCTGGGAGTGCTAGCAGTTCAGGGATCACAGGATGACTCAAGCTTCTAGGAACCTTGGGAAGTCTCTAGTCTGACCTGTTCCACTGCTTGGCTGTCTTTAGGGTAAAAAAAGCTTTTTCTTATATCCCATCCAAATCTCTCTTGTTTCAGTTCATGTTTGTTGTCTCTGATCATTCTGCTATGCATTACCCTGAAAAACCCGGCTCCATCTTCTTGAAAACCTCCCTATCTGTATCGGAAGGCTTCTATTAAGTTCCCCTGAAGATGTCTCATCTCCAGGCTGGTCAAGTACAGCTCTCCTCAGCCTCTCCTCATAGGCCAAGTACTCCAACCTCTACCAATCTTCAGGGACTCCACTGAACTCACCCCAGTTTACAGATGTCTGTCTTGTATTGGGGTCCCAAAAATGGATGCAGTATCAAGATGTGGTCTAATGAGGGCTGAGTCGAGGGCATAATCACTTTGGACTACTGGCTCCCATCCTGCCAGTACAGCCTGGGATGCTGGTGCCCTTCCTTGATGCCAGGGCACACTCCAGGCTCATGCCCTGCTTCACTGAGCAACAGGACCCCACATCCCTTTCTGCAGAGCTGCATCCCAGGCAGCCAGGGCCCGGCCTGCTGTGCTGCAGCATTGTTCTTCCTTCTCAAGTGCAGGACTTCACACTTGCCCTTGCTGAACTTTGTAACATTTCTGTCAGCGCATTCCTCCGGCCTGACCAAGTTCTCCTGAATGGCAATCCTACAATATGCTTTAAGAAAATTCAGAGGAAAGACATTCATCAGCAGTTTTGGCACAGATACAGAAATTTCACTACTGTGATCAAAACTGAACTGCCTGCAGAGCTTCAGATGCAGAATCCCTTCAGTATTTCACAGCTTAAGAATGTGGTTTCCTTTGGCAGCCCACAGACACCACCACTGGAACTGATCTCCAACCTAAACAGTCTACTGGCTGAAGTCCATCTCATTCTCACACCTCTTCAGCTCATCCCTATAGTGGCTTTACTTGGATGATATTTACTTTTGTCCCGTTGTGTTTACTGTTGTCATCTATTTGCTGGGTGTCATCACTGGTGATAATAAAAATGATAGAGGAAGAGCTGAAAGTCACTTTCTTCTTTGGCCTGTTCCCTGCTTTCTGAGACATAACTATTGGTCGTATTGGTTTGTCATTCCCTGTTGCTGGTGTCTCTTTCACGGTCCTCTGGTATCTCATCAGGCGAAAGCACAGGAGTTGCAAAAGGCATCGTCGAAACTGCAAAACAGCATAAAAATGAAATTACAACTTCCTAAGCATTCACTATCATGTACAATCCAGTGAAGACAGCAGTATAGTAAATGACTCTAAGATATTTCTGCATATCTCCACCTTGTTCAAAGTTAGTTTCAATGCTATAACAAACATGGTGGCTTTTTAGTGGGTACTTTCCTTCCCTCCACTAAAGAGCTGAATAGGATCACCTAGCCAGTAGAGGGCACTGAAATGCAATTTGGTATTTTACAAGTGGCAAGATCTGCAATAGGCAATCTGCAAAGAACAAGAGGACTAGGCTCTAAAATATGCTGTAGGTATTGTTCCCATCCTTGAGTATTCACAAATAACACGTTCACTCTAGCAGGGGAAGAATATTCTCAGAAACAGTTCACAAGAGCATGCAGAGGGAAGGAACAAGTGGAGGCAGAGGGGATACACAATCACAGAATGGCAAGTGTTGGAAGGGATCTCAGGAGATCATCTAGTCCAACCCTCCTGCTAAAGCAGGTTCACCTAAAGCATGTTGTGCAGGACATCATCCAGGCGGGCTTTGAATATCTCCAGAGAAGGAAACTCCACAACCCCCCTGGGCAGCCTCTTCCAGGGCTCTGTCACCCTAAAAGTAAAGAAGTTCTTCCTCACATTCAAGTGAAACCTCTTATGTTTCAGTTTGTACCCATTGCCCCTTGTCCTGACGCTGGGCACCACTGAGAAGAGTCTGGCTCCGTCCTCATGACATCCACCCTTAAGATATTTGTACATGTTGATGAGGTCCTCTCTCAGTCTTCTCTTCTTCAAGCTAAACAAGCCCAACTCTCTCAGCTTTTCCTCACAGGGGAGATGCTCCAGTCCCCTAATCATCTTTGTTGCCCTCCTCTGGACTCTCTCTAGGAGTTCCTCATTTTTCTTGAACTGGGAAGCCCAGAACTGGACACAGTACTCCAGGTGGGGTCTCACCAGAGCAGAGTAGAGGGGGAGGATAACCTCCCTTGGCCTGCTCGCCATACTCCTCTTAATGCATCCCAGGATACAAAGGGATGTTTTCTTCCTTTTAAGTAACTCAAGGGTCTGGAATTTTAATAAAAGCATTGAAAGTCAGAGATATAAAATAACATTTCAAAGGTTGGTAACACAGAACTAAAATGTTCCCATTTAATATGGAAGAAACAGAAGTCTTTCAGCTAATTAGAAGTCATTTATGATATACAGAGTCTGTTTTAATTTGTGATTAAATAATGCAAAGTATCCAGTGAAAGCTCACATCAGTATACAGAATGACAATTCCAGTAGTAGTGCTGTTTTAAATGCTCCAAGTGTGTTCTCCCCTTCACAACACAAAGCATTCAGGCATAGGGGTTAAAGGATGCACTCATTCAGTTCCATGTCTGCACACATCTAAAGCTCAGATATGATCCTTTGGGTCTCTGGTTTTACAAGAAATAAGTGGGCAGCTTCCTCTTATTTTAATAACCCATCCTGAGGCCGCACCTGGAGTACTTTGTCCAGCTCTGGAGCCCTCAGCACAAGAAGGACATGGAAGTGTTGGAGCAGGTCCAGAGGAGGGCCACAAAAATGATCTGGGGGCTGGAGCACCTCTCCTATGAGGACAGGCTGAGAGAGTTGGGCTTGTTCAGCCTGGAGAAGAGAAGGCTGCGGGGAGACCTGATTGCAGCCTTTCAATACCTAAAGGGGGCCTATAGGAAAGATGGGGAAAATCTTTTTAGTAGGGCCAGCAGTGACAAGACAACGGGTAACGGTTTTAAACTAAACCAGGGTAGGTTTAGACTAGATGTAAGGAAGAAGTTCTTTACAATGAGGGTGGTGAAACACTGGAACAGGTTGCCCAGAGAGGTGGTGGAGGCCCCATCCCTGGAAACATTCAAGACCAGGTTGGATGGGGCTCTGAGCAGCCTGATCTAGTTAGTGGTGTCCCTGCTCCTGCAGGGGGGTTGGACTAGATGACCTCTAGGGGTCCCTTCCAACCCAAAACATTCTATGATTCTATAAACAAGACATGCCTGGAAGGTGTGAAGAGGATTTAAAAAAACCCAGCCAATCAAAAAAAGCCCACAACAACAAACAGGGCAGGGGGACACAACACAGCTTTTCTCTGAAAAGGGAGTAGGACAGGTTTCTCAATAGCCTTCCATTTAGCCACATTCAGAATTATTCTGTATTATCCTGCATGGTCGCTGACTTTGATTTTCCAGCTATCATGCAAGAAGCTCTCCAACATGCCAGTTTGGAACAAGGTTTTGTTACAAGACATTAATCCTGCTCTGACACAGGGGAGGTAATAGGTCCTGTTGGGAAGGGGACCTAGAAAGTTACAAGATGATAGGGAAAGGTCATCTGTTGCTATGTCAAAACACAAGAGAATGGTCATGTGGAGGCCTTGATGATTTCAGAGATAATGTGGTACCTCTGAGTAGCATGGAAGTGAGAAGGCACAAGAGTGTTAGAACAGGTCGGATAGAGGAAGTATATTAATAGAGAAGTGGTTTTAGAATTCCTTCTGAAGGCAAAATAAACCAGAAGATGAGCAAAATTATCATTTTGGTCTTAATCTAGACTTAGAGGTGAGTGAGAAGCACTTGACAATGCATCTCCAATAAGAGTGTTTAGCTGATTTGTTCTTATCCTGACTATGATCACCATTGTGCCTGGTACCACTTTGATTTGCTGTGAACCAGAATCTACAAAATCTTTTTCAAATCAAACTACTTAGTTCATAAACTTCTATATACTCATTATATAAAGGAAAAAAAAAAAAATCACTCTGTTGAAAATACTCTTTTGAACATAATTGTTGTTAGCTCCCCATACCCAGGCCAGCTCTGATATTGTGCAGCTGTGTAACCTTAGATCAGCCTGCTGTGAAATGAGCTGTGGATGAAGAGCTGTGAGATGCTACTTTGGGGGCCTCCTGCCATCACTCAGGAACAGCATTTAAACTCACCCTTGCCCTCGGTCCTGGCCTGAGCTGCACTGCAGCCTTTGCCTGACCACCCATCTGGCTGATCAGACCCATTAACTTGGCTAACTTGTCCCTATAGACTGCTTGCTGGCCCTGGGCAACTGCAAACCAGTGTAGGAAATCACATCTCTATAATGAGGAAATGGAAACCCAGGGAAAGCCTTCCAGCAATCATTCATACTTCTTCACACTTTGCCAAGTGGTTCTTGTCTAAATAAATTCACAACACTGTTTAACTGCATTCAGTGGTTATCTTCATAGTACTGATGATTTACAGAATGATGTATAGTTTTCTAGTTTCCACGTATTTGACATGCCACTGATAACTCCAAATACTTCCATTCTGTCTTTGCTCTGTAAAGCACTGAAATGAGCAAGTTACCACCATTAAATCAGCAGTCTACTTTTCATAATGAAGACTACAAAAGCAGACAAAAATGAAAACTTGGTTTTGTCATAGATAAGTATTTCTTCTTCATAGCACATAATTTATCTCAAAAAAATGTTTCACTGTCATCCACATGAGATTCTGGCTTTGAATACAACAAAGCTCTAAGAAATGTTACTGGTGTAGTATTTTTCCACCAAAATCACCAATTTATCGAGACTGAAATGATCCAGGATGGTATGCCAAATTTTGTAGTGTTCACTTAAAAGCTTAATGGAAACATTTTAAGAATACAGTGTTTTATTTTCCTACTTTAATTTTTTAGTACTGTACACTTAGAAATTTTTAAATTCATAACAAATTACAACTTTTTGTTGCCACTTGAGGTTAAACAAAATTTCAACATGTCTTTTTTAAAATTTTTCTTCCAGGCGCCAACCAAGTAGACAGCTACTTTTGCTTGCAATGTTCTTTGTTCTTCATGGTTGAGCTCCTGAGAAGTAACATGTCAGGAATGTGCATTCCTAAAACTTTCCTAGGCTTAAGCAGAACCGTATAATGGACAATCATTTCATTCCCTGGTATTTTAACATTATTGAAACATCTTACTGACATATTTGCTTAGTAAAACCCAGTCTAAAAAACAGGATGGCTTTTTATGAGCATACTTATTTGAAATACTATGCTGAGTTGTTCAGTCCTTGTGTTGCCATAATGGAAAAGTCAGAGGCAAGTTTTTTTCTTCCTAAAAAGCAGACACCAGATATTCTGAATTTTGTCTGATGGGGTTCTGTTGTGGTAAGGGAGTGATTTAGATGAGGTTTTCTACTTGTAATCTATTTCATGGGTAAATTGTCAGGACTAGACACTTAAATTTTGATACTCCTTCCCTTCCCTTTCATGTGAGTGCTCATGTGTGAATTCAGGCACTTAAAATCCAATTTCTGATAGGGTAGTACTTTAAGCACCATCACCGATTTTAATTCTACTAGAACTTTACCATTTATCCTAGGTGTTCAAATTAAAAAAAAAAAATAAAAATCTAAGCTTTACAGGTTAAAGTAAATCAGATTTAACCTCCAAACCTGTGGCATGGGCTACTAATTATTCAAATAAGAAAATCTTCAATGTACCTACCTTTCTACTCATGAAGATATAGATGACTGGATTATAAGCAGTGCTTGACTTGGCAAAGAAAGATGGGATGATAGCTACTGTTGGAGTTACAAGGTTGCTATAGCCGTATGTTACCAGGAGGGAGACCACTGCATAGGGCATCCAACAAATAAGGAATGTGGAGATCATTAAGAAACACATTTTAGCCACCTTCTTTTCATATTTTAGAAGTTTGATTACTTGAAAAGTCTGGAAGTCTTCCACACAGTGAAGCTGTAGGAAAAAAAAACAAAACAAAACAGACAGAGATAAAATGGTAGAGTAAAACAGCTCTATGTTTTACTTGAAACTGAATAGTTCTAAATATATTTATAAATAACTAATTCACCAATTTAGTTTTTGGCACAAACACTATACACCTTACCTTGTGAACCATAATTCTGGAAGTTTACATCATGTTTCAGACTTTTACTGCTTTTATGAAATGAAAAAGTATGATCTGAGGAGAAATAGAATAACAAATGCACTGGAAAAAAATATGCTGTGCTTACTATAAGTATTTTAGAAAACCAACTTGCCCTCATCCACTGGCATAAGCAAGTTCAGTTCACATTTAGTGGTCCTTCGTCTGATTACAGAATCACAGAATCGCAAGGGTTGGAAGGCACCTCGGGAGATCATCTAGTCCAACCCCCCTGCTAAAGCAGGCTCTCCTAGAGCATGTTACACAGGACTTCATCCAGGCGGGCCTTGAATATCTCCAGAGAAGGAGACTCCACAACCTCCCTGGGCAGCCTGTTCCAGTGCTCTGTCACCCTCGAAGTAAAGAAGTTTTTCCTCATATTCAACTGAAACCTCTTATGTTTCAGTTTGCACCCATTGCCCCTTGTCCTGTCACAGGACACCACTGCAAACAGACTGCTTCCATCCTCATGACTTCTGCCCTTAAGATATTTGTATGTGTTGATAAGGTCCCCTCTCAGTCTTCTCTTCTTCAGGCTGAACAAGCCCAACTCTCTCAGCCTTTCCTCATAGGGAAGATGCTCCAGTCCCTTTATCATCCTAGTTGCTCTCCTCTGGACTCTTTCTAGGAGTTCCTCATCTTTCTTGAACTGGGGAGCCCAGAACTGGACACAGTGCTCCAGGTGGGGTCTCACCAGGGCAGAGCAGAGGGGGAGGATAACCTCCCTCGACCTGCTGGCCACACTCCTCTTAATACACCCCAGGATACCATTGGCCTTCTTGGCAACAAGGGCACATTGCTGGCTCATGGTCAGCTTATTGTCCACCAGGACTCCCAGGTCCCTCTCAGCAGAGCTGCTTTCCAGCAGGTCAGCCCCCAGCCTGTACTGGTGCATGGGGTTTGACCTCCCCAGGTGCAGCACTCAACACTTGCCCTTGTTGAACTTCATCAGGTTCCTCTCCACCCAGCTCTTAGTTAGACAATCGTGTAGATTTGTCTCACCAGCAATCTTTAGAGAGAAGAAAATTTCACTAATAGATTTCTCTGTACTGCTCTGCCACTTCATTTGTTACCCTGAAATTATGGAATCTCTATTTAAAGCAGAATACTAGGCAGCAGGTTCCCAGTGTCAGCTGAGTAAGTCATAAAATGCGGAAAAGATGCAACATGTACGTGAGTGCTCTCCATAACAACTATCAGTTGTGCCAATACTGTTCACCACAAACTTGAATGGATCCAGACTAACTACCCACAGAATCTGAAACATTAATGCTTTCTGACACTACAGATCTGAATTAAAATGGGTTGCCTTAACCTGGAAAACTAGTTTAACAGGGCTTAATCTCCACTTGGAAGAGTTTTACAGAGTTATTTTCTCAAGAGTTGCAAAAACGAGAGAGGGAGTTCCATAATCAGGAGATCTGCAAACAGAGTCTTCTTTTCCCCCTGTTTCAAGGGAGGACCCGATAGGGAACTGCTCGTGCTCACTAAGACACAACCTGCCTCCCAGTAAAACTACACAACAAATAGATCTTGGTAGCTCTAGGTTGGTTCTTCTCCAGCATTACATCCCTTATAGTGGTCACTGACATGAATGAACGTTAAACATTCAAAGGCAAGAGTGCAAATTTAGGCTCTGATGCAAGCTTAATATACAGCATCAGCAACTTTCACTGAAAATATTACACTAAGAGAAGTCTTTTATTTGAATCAACTTACCATTCTTACTGCATATAGAATATGGCCGTAGCAATAGGCCATGATCCCAACAGGTGCTACCAGACAGCTAAGGAAAAAAAGGAGCACAAAGGAGGTATCATTGGGGTCTTTCGACTTCCAGTCCACTGAGCAACCTAATCCATGAATTTCCAGGGTGTATCTGTTCCAGCCCAAAAGAGGTGCTCCAGTCCAAGCTAATGAATAGAGCCAGATGTATGTGATAGCCCGCCAGGACCAAGAGAAGTCAATTACTTTAGCATGGACCACTCGAATGTAGCGTTCATAGGCAAGAACAGTGAGAGTCATAATTGAAACAATTCCTGTAAGAAAAATAAAAGAAAATCAATTAAATAATTCACAAACATTGCAAATTGGATGGAAGTCCTCTTGATAAATGTTCCCTTTGCCAGCAGGTTAACTCAAAATTAGCTAGCCCGTATTATGAATCTAACACCAATATGCTTTTTGGGTGACACCCTTCTACTCACTAACTAGTAACTCACTAATTTCAGAACTACTCAGAGCAGGGTGCTGGAAATTGACCCATGATGTGTGACTGCCAAGACGTAGGACAAGGAGGGAAAAAAAAAAAAAACAAAAAAAAAAAAAAAAAAAAAAAAAAGAGACCAAGATAACACATTTTCCTAAGCATTACTTCATTAAGCGAGAGATCATGCTACAAGGCGGGGGGGGGTGTGTGTGTGTGTTTGCAATTGTGTTGGGTTGGTCTGTGGTTTTCTTGGGGGGTGGGGTATTAAAAGAAAAAGGTCCTATATAAAAATTATTTAATTAGCAATAACAAAATGTGTTAGAATCCTAGGGAATTCGGAGTCGAGACTGAAGTCAAAGAAAGCCTTCAATAACTGACAGCATTGAAATGTACCGTTAATGTGAACAAAATGACTAGGAGAATTCCAACTTCTTTCAAGATTTCCTGCAAGTCTTTGCTTTCCTGGTTGCTCTTTGGAATGCAAAGTGTTGTGTTGCTGAAGGAGTCACATCTGGAAGACATTGGGTTATATGGAGTGGCCCCTCCTATCTCACTGCTATCATAAAAATATCATAGTCTTCATTTCAATTATTTGTGTACTCTCTTCCTTTTCTGTCCACCTCAACCCCACTACACACTTATTAACATGTTATGACAGAAATCACAGATTATTTTCAGCTCTCAGCATTATCCTATCCAGACACTTCTATAATTCAATGAACTCAAGGTAAAAGTCAAGGCAATTCTTTCTTGATTAGAATATAAGGATTTCTGTTTCAATGCTCCATGAAATGTAATGATCAAGAACCAATCTGCTCATCACATGTGCCAGTCACCTGAAGTCTGTTACAATTAAGTCATCAAGCTCATATACACAGCCTCTTAACCAACAAAAAAGGGTGTATTTCACAGCACTCTGTGAGGTTATACAAATACCCATGTCTAAATTTGTGTACATTTTATCTAATAAGAAGCACAGGTATTTTGTCACACAGCATTTAATTTCTTCAAGTACATTCATATTTGGCATAACATGCATTTATACAGCTGTGAGAAGGTTAAACATGCAGATTTCACTGCCAAAAAGAGCATAATCATTATATGCAGCAAAAACCTTCAAAGGATATCACAGATATCTGATCTCATTTTGAAAAAAGGGTAAGCATCTAAGGAAGACAAATTAATAATAGCATGCTCAATCACCAGCAACATGGATTTTAAGAATGCAACTAAGAATAAAAAAAATCTAGATAAACACATAGCCTCTGCCACAAGGCATTCATCAGCAAAACCAGCATATTATTAACTGAGTATCTCACAGAAGGACATGCTTTAAGATCTCTGTAAGAAAGCTACTTTACCCTGTATTAGAGGATCCCTTTTTGTACACGATGGGTTGAGAAAGCTTTCCTGATTAACAGGAAGGATTTCCCACTCTAAAGGAAAACATGCCACTATTTTTTTTTTTTTTTAAACATGTACATTTTTTTCCAGTATTATCTTTAAACCTTCATCACAAAGAATTAAATATTGCTGGACATGCATAAGGCAAGGCAGCCTACTTTCACAGTCAGTTTTGTATAGTTTTGTGGGTTTTCTTCTTGTATAAGTCATTGCTATAGGAATTTTTTTTCTATGGTTTGAAAGAGAAATTAGATTAGCAAATGTGGACCAGAGGGTTCCCACAACACTTAAGGTTTGGGTTTTGGTTTTTTTTTTTTTTTTTTTAATGAAGTTGATAGGAAGTCCTTCATGTCCTTTTTCAGGACATAACATGCTGAAAATAGATTGAAGAATGTAGATCTAAGCAAGATCTTAGTAAGAATCAGAAAATAATTATAGAATTATACTGGTACTATTCTACACTTATACTAGATCAGGTGAATGCTTTATACAATGAAATACAGTCTGCTTCTTGAACACAAGGTGAAGGCAAGAAATTCACCTCTCATTTCTCTGTGCCCAAAGACTAGATATTACAAATTTTTACCTGATGGTTATTAAAATCATCCGCAGACATGCTTATGGAGGAAATTATGTGCTTACATAGCACACTGAGGCTTTGTCTGTGATCAGTGGATAGAAAAAACAGGGGTGTCAAAATTCCTAAGTTAACCCCTTGCTTTTTACCACCTTCCTTCTCTCCCACTACAACCTCAGGGAAAACAGGTGGATAAATAATTTACCTACAAAGTTATTCAATGACTAATGTCCCTGTGTACTCTTAATATGTGCCATCAGTTTTTATACACGTGTATTGAATTCTGGCCATGACAAAGTAATCAAAAGCACATATGATTAGTTGAAAGCACAGGTGTTCAGAAGTGATAATTTAATGAGTCCTTGACATTTTCAAGGAAGTCATTGCAGGCTCAATATCTCTCAAACTTCGTACTTGCACATAAACCTTCGAGCGGTTTTAGCTCAAGACCTTTCAGTCTGAAACCAGTGCTCTTTAAAGGGATACTTGAGTTTTCTACCCAAACTGTAAAAGAGAGCTTGGTTAGCCTGTTGGACAGTATGTACTGAAATGCAAACCCCTGTTCTGTTGGTATTCAGAAAGTGTCTGGTAGCATGTATGCACGAGGCAAAAAATGAAGGTCACAGCATGTTACAGTAAATTCCTCTCTGATGCAGGATCTCTACTGTAACAAGGTTGTAAATGTAAGAGCAGAGATTGAAGTAGTTAACCATAAAAATAGAAGTTTGAAACAAAATGTCCTTGCAGGAAAATACAAAATGTAGGGATTTTTGTACAAAAAAAGCCCCTCACGGTGTGGAGCCATGGCTGCCTGTGTATTTGTGGTAGATGACATGCAGAAATACCTATAAGAACAGGAATACTGTATTAGAAACACCATAATGTGTATTAGAAACATTAAGTCCATAACTGTGGGAAAACACACATTAATTCTGGTGGAGGGTGCTGTACATAACGCTATTTAAGAGTCATTTGGATTTTCTTGTTCTTGTTACTTCTACAGTGGGCTACATGACAGGGGAATTCATAAGAAAATTACATTTCAGTGTTTTTAAATGGGCAGATAAGCACCTTTTAACTCTTAGATGAAGGATTACCAATAAGCTACTTTTACTGAATGAGCTGAATTGAACTACAGACAGCATCTCTCAGCTTTCAGACATTAGTGAGTGGAACAGAAATAGCCAGAGGAACAACTTCTGGGTAGCATCATCAGCATTTCAGAAGTAATTTAACTCCCAGGAATCCCTTTAAGATTGCACTCCTTTTTTTGCTCTCTCCTCCTTTAATATTACAAAAAAAAAAGTATGAAAAAAGTGTATGAAATACTACTATATTCCCACAGAACACAGACAACTGTGTTAAAGCTGTAAATTTGATTGTCCTCTTTTTAGTATAGAAGTTCTATAGAATAACTCTCATGATTGAGTCATTACTCCATAAGAATCTAACATATCTTTTAGAACTGTTTCCATGTACTTGACATTAATAATAAAGATATTAATGTACCATAAGATTCGATGCCTTTTTTCAAAAAGAAATAAAGCTTGCCAAAATCTATACATGATAAAACTTATTTTGATTTTACTGTGTAAAGTCTTTGTAATTTGAAGGTTAAGCTTCTGATTTCAAGGTTTCAAATATCATTACCACAAGTCGTTTAAGTGCTGCACAACTCTCAGTTACACCACAAACTGGGGAGCTCTTGCTTTTGATGCAAATAGTGACAACAGTTTTTCAGCTTGTAATAGTTTCAACTATTTCTTTTATTCCTAACTCTAAAGTATAAAAAATTTCTCAGTAGGTAGACTCTTGAAAACTACTTAGAAGCTTATGTTCCACTAAAAGTCAGTGGAGCATAAGGTCCAGTTTTGCAGTTTTTAATAGGACTTCAGTACAGGCAAGGGCAAGACTAGAACAGAACACAATTTGAATTTCCCCCCCATTATGCATATTTTCCATTCTGTATCAATATGCCATGAAACCACATCTGATATTTCTAACAAAAACTTTGAGAAAGAAGCAGCACAGATTAGCTCATATAACTAGAATAGCCTCATAGACCACTAAAATATGAACTGACTTTTCTATCTGTGAATGATCTGCAGCAGTGACCTTATATGTTATTTGAGTTTCCCAACTATTGGGAATTTCAGCTATTCTGTGTGTGCACTTTGTGGCAACAAATTCCATTATAAAGCTGCAAAGCCATAAAACTAGAAAATGCCCAAGGGTCTCATACAACTCTAAGTAGTGAGAGCTGGAATATGCCTGCCACCTCCACACTTAATGATAAAAACTAATAACACTAACAGTAGCAAAAATCTTGAAAAAGTCCATTCAAACTCAATGTCAAACTCAGTGTCACAGTCAGTGTGCAAAATGCATTTTAACAGTCTGCAGTTTTTTCCATATGCTAATAGCACAGTCATGTTCCAACCAAATTTCTACAAAAGACAAAATAAAAAAAATATTTAATGAGTTACTTATATCTTACTTGGGTAATTACCTGTACCTCCTCTGCACTGATCCCAAGGGTGGAAAACAACTTCTCAAATTACAAAATTATAATTAAATGAGAAGTGGGGAAGGTAGAGCTTATACATTTTTGGTAGGTAAAATTAATTCAGTTGGGGATTAGCTCTGATGTCAAGGGATGGTTTCAAGCAGCAGTTGTGAAACATTCAACATCCTAGAGAATACTGCTGGAAATCTACAGCTCTTGATTATGATTAACAAACAAAAGTGTTTTGTTTCCTTTTGAGATTATTTTAAGTGAGTTACTTTTTTCCTCATGGTAATCTAGGATTCTATAAAATCCTTTCAATGCTGATAACAAGACAGAAGAAAAACAAAACAAAACAAAGACATCTAAAGATGCATCTACAGAGTAATTATAAAACCTACATGTAAAGTCACAGCTTTCATGAAGCAAGCCAGAGCTTTTCGTAAGACTTATCTAGATGCATAGTTTAAAGGGTTCAGTAGGAAGTTGTGCATTTTGAAGTCATCCACAAATGGATTTAAGGGCTCATTTCTTAAAGGACCCGCTTCTAATAAATTCCTACCCCCAGCAGACCTATTTGCAGAGGCCTAGAAGTCAGTTTTTAATCAGACTTTCCACTTTAAAGAAAACAGGTTTTGAAAGAAAATAGCTTTTGAAAGAAAAAAGCTTTTGAATCAATAATACCTAGCAAATAAGCTTGTAATGTACATGCTTATCAGTTTGCCCTTGAAGCCAAAGCTGTATCAAAATAGTTTCTATAAAATCTAATCCTCTAGATTGATGTGTTTTGTTCTGCAAGGTAACTGGCAGAAGTGCAAAACTGGTTTCAGATACACAGTTAAAGCTTGAAACAATATACAAAAATTCACCTTTGCATCATAGTTTCACTATAGTGTGTATTTGCTTGTTGTGCAGCTATAGAGAAAGGTGAGTCAAGTTCACTCAGTTCATGAGTGAATCCCGAAGTCTTCATTCAAGCAAAATTCATATTAAACATTAAAGAAGCCTCTGTACATAAGGACTTAATCCATTATTTCATGCTAGAGATCTTCCTTTTCTATATTGCGTTCCACTTCAGCATCTTTTAATCATCTTTCCACTGTTAGTGATTTCTTCTTTTGAAATATTGTTTTATCATAAGCTTTATCTTGCATCCTAACAGGTCACTCTTCATGGCCAGTTAACAGTTCTGTATCTTTGCCTAATATTAACACTAAATCCTTGTATCAGGAAGGATGGAGGGAATGGTTAGATGAGGAAAAAATCGTTTTACTTGCTACACCCTTCTTTTGCCAACTCAAACTTCTAAGCAAATTTGAGCATTAGTGATATGGTATTAACTTCTCTACTTCCAGTCAATAGTGGCATATTCAGATCAAAAATTACAAAGAAACTTGAAAGTTTGTTTCTACTGCAAAAAAAAAAAAAATTAATAAATTCATGATGCTAACCT